CATACCCAGGAAAAGAGTTCTGGGAACTCGAAGAACACGAAATGGCCTACAGCTGGCGCTGGGCATTCAAAATCATGCCCAGGAATGGAGTTCTGGGAACTCGAAGAACACGAAATGGCCTACAGTTGGCTCCAGGCATTCAAAATCATGCCCGGGAGTGGAGTTCAGGGAACTCGAAGACCACGAAGTGCGTTACTGCTTGCTAAAAAAAGGAATCCCCGGATTCCCCCGGGTCCCGTCCGGATCCCGCCCAGACTCCCCTGGGGAGTCATGATGCTCTCTTTTGACACTACTAGAAGCCTATCAGTTTTCGCTGTTAGGTAAAATGTCGCACACGGGAGAGGAGCTCAACAGCAGGGGGCCGCGGGGCCTCACGAGATTTCAAAATTTGGTTCACCTTATTATGCGACATGTTTGTATCAGGGTCCGTGATCATGAGCGGGATAAACGTGCGGATGCGGTAATTGTTGATGAGGGAATAACATATGCTAGATTCATACCAGGGCCGATGGCGTAGCACAGCAAGTCAATCCACATCAACGTCCTCCAGCCAAGCAAACCTTCCTTGGGTGACAGGGGACGCTTTGGATTTCATGGCAACACGGCACATGCTCGCTTGGATCTCACACCGAAGGTCTCGAGGGTCGCTCGGGAAGCACAGTGCGGAGAGGGTCCTCGGAATCTCTCCAGGGATTCCATGCTTCGGGGCCGCGGCGAGGAGTTGCAATGCCTCCCGTTGTTTTTTTCCCATAGCTGGCGGCGCCAGGTACAGCTGTCCCACAGAGCTCAGGACGGAGAGCGCCAGCGAGTTGTAGGCTATGATGTTCTGACGTAGCCGTAAGCACAGACCTCTGATGTGCCAAACCCTCTTTATGTACTTCGCGCCAGGAGCATCCCAGGAAACCAGTGGACCATTAGGGCCAATGTAAACTCCCTAGATATTGGCCGCAAGTGTTCACCCTGAATTTTGCAGGTTCGGATCCCCGGCCCACGGAACATATCCCTGATCTGTTGAGCAGAGTACGGCACGGCAGCCCGGAGACTGCACTTGCCAGGGTTCAGGACCAACCCTGTGGCCTGAGCAACTCTAGACAGTAGCCGAAGGGCGACAGGAAGTGAGTGCACAAGGTTGGCCGAGACAATGCTGATGTCATCTGCAAAGGCAGGCGGCCGCGCAAGCGGCGATAGAACAACAAGCAGGCACCTGAAAATCGGATCTGCTGCAATTGCATATAGTATTCCTGACAATGGGCATCCCTGCTTTATTCCACGGATAATGTAGTATCCTCTGAACACTCCTCCTCCTCCTATGCGGATGCCTGTGTATATGTCATGCTAAAGTTGTCGTGCAGCATGTACCACGCAATCCGGAATCATCATGATTATGAATACTGTGAAGATCCATGCATGAGCCGAGCTAAGGAAGGCCGCGGCGAAATCCAGCAGAAACATCCCAGCTCGCTCGGCTCCCTTGAAGACAATATGCTCCAGGAAGTCCGCTTCTATCTGCATTATGTTGTCGAGCATGCTCCTACCTTTTCTGAATCCAGTCTGGCTGGTGTGCACAGAATATTGTGTTTGTTGGCTAAACGGAATGCCGAGCATGGACGCGGAAATCTCGTTGTCCGCGTTGCCTAGAAACAGAGGCTTAGTCTCTGTAGCTTTCTTCAGAACATTGAGCTGTTCGACGTCGTCAACAGTCTTGGGCAAACAATACGGTAGTTCCGCGATTGAAGGCAGGAGGAAGAGCAGCATGAGACATGCAACGAAGATAAGCTTGGTAGAGACTCTCGTTGCACAGCATGCTGCTCTCACCCCAGGCAGAGTATGGTACTCCGTCGGGTCCTGCGGCCGTGTCCTTCTTGCGGTGAATGAACCCTAGCAAGTCGGAGAATGGGACAACCCACTCGATGCCTGGTGAGACAGCTAGGCAATGCTCAAGCAGAGAATCGGCTACAGCCTGGGGAACGTGTGATGCATCAGCCGCGGCATGTACCTGGGCCCAGAGACTAGCAAGCCGAGCAGCACTATCATCCGTGCCGGTGGGCTCGCGCCCATCGACGTCGAGGACGCCTGCCAGAGAGATGCGCCTGTGCTTTGGGGGCCATGCCTTCAAAGGCTTGTGCAGCTTGACAGTGCGTTCGTCGTCGCATCGAAATTCTGGAGATTGCTCATGCTCACGGAGCTCTAGAACAAGTATACGCTCTTGTATCATACGAATGCGTCCTTGGAAGCGTTATTGATCAATGATGTGTTCGTGCTGCTCGTCTGTGTACTGCGCTAGCGTATCATATGCCATAACACATTTGCGAACCGCAGCACCATGTCCAATCGAGTTTGCACGCATGCATTCCAGACAAACCATGAGACGATGCGTGTCCGACTGCAACCCGTACCTATGATGCGCGACTTCAGTTTCACACACGCCATGTGCATGCACTCCTTGATCTCAGTCAGAGCCTGTAGTGGGTCCTCGGGGAATTCGATTTGGGCGATAGCCTCATCAATCCATTCAGGATACTCTGGATGTGCCGTGACCCAGCCAGGGATATTTACCTGAGACCGTAGTCCAGGAGAGAAGCGAA